TTCTTATTAATTCTTCTGGGTTTTCTAGTCATAATGTCTTAACATATGAAAATAATCTTTCTGACATTGGTTTTTTATAGTGATACATAAATGCTTATAAACTACCCTGTGGGTTAGGTAATAACTCTGTTTTAATGTGAAAAAGAAGTGAGGTTGGTGGGTACAGTTGCTTTGTTCCAGAATTTAAAGCTGGTAGGGCTAAAGTATGCTCATTAGTTGTTGACTTTTGAACTGGACTAATTCATTATATGAATGAAATTTTAACAGTTTTCTTAAATTTGTGATATATTGTTTTTTAAATTTTGAATCAAACTTATTGAATAAAATATTACAGCAATTGTTCAAGAAAACTCATTAGCCTTAGTAGTTTTCAATAATTTTAGACTTATGATTTCCCCTTCTTCCCTCCCTCTGTGTTTGTGTGTATGTATGTATGATAGGTTTTTGTGTGTGGTGTAGGCATGTATATGTGTGGGGGTCATGTGTATGAATGTTTTTTTCTGAACTATTTCTAATTAATTTGGAGAAATTATATCTAACAACAGCAAAATAATCCAGTGCATACTGAAGTGTTATGATTTTCTTATCTTAACAGAATGGACTAAGTGTATACTTTATCAATGTAATCTGCTATTTCATGATATAACAATAATTAGGTAGTAACTCTATTCTTCTCTCCCTTCCCTCAGAATTTAATTAGGTATTGACCATCTCTTATACCAATCATATCCTATGGTGCTGTGAACTTGTATCATACACATATTCTGCCTTTTTTCTCTTCATTTTTAACTGTAATAGATTTCTTTTGTCAGAATGCATTATATTTACAGTCTATTTGAGTATGGTATTCCCATTGATTGGTGTTATCCATAGAGATACTTGGATCCAATTTATTTTAGCCATAGAGTTACAGGAAAAAATGTCCAAACTTCCCTTGAGTTCTTGGTGGGCTCCTTTTCTAATAAATTCTCTGGAATGAATCTTCACTTTACAATATTCTCTGTGCTCCTGCAAAGCAGTAACAGGGTCTGAAAATCCATTTGGCTCAATTTAAAATCCTAAGAACTCAGTTTTTCTTCGAGTATTTGTGTCTCCCTTGTCTTGTGTTATCATGCATTATTGTTGATGATTGCTCCCATTCTGTTATATTGTTATAACTGATTTAGTCCTTTGATGTTAAATCTCAAAAATTCTTTAAATTTAAGCCCAATAGTTTTCTAAACATTGTCTTTATATGACTATTCTCTAATAGTTTTCTCAATCACATCATGTGTCCTTAGAAATATGTAGGCTCATTCTCTCCCTTTTTGATTCTATCAGCTAGTATTTGCAGACACTATTCTTGTTTATGTGATCCCTTTGGTTCTTAGTCCTATCATTACGATCAATTGTGAACAGAAATTGATCACTGGGACTAGTGAGATGGCATTGGTACATGCCACCCTGATGGGATTGAATTTGAATCCCCTGGTATGTTTCTAACTCTACCGTTTGAGGTAAGTCAGCTTGAGTGAGATACACAGCAGACCCATAGAATGGCAAATGTCCTAAACAGCACTCTGGCCTCATAAGCAGCCATTAAGGCATGCGGATCCGGCTGAAATGCCCATGAGAGTATTTCAGGCATGGAAAGCCAAGACACTCTGGGTGAAAAAAAAAAAACAACAACAACAACAACTAAATGAACGATCTCCATGAGTGAGATCCCAGTGGAAAGATTGGGTCATCAAAGAAGGAGGTACCTTTCTCTGAAGGGAGGAGAGAACTTCCACTTTGACCATGGCCTTGTCTAAATATGATCAGAGTCGGTGAACTCAGGGGGCTTCCATAGCCTTGGCAGCTCATGACAAGAGCCTAGGGTGATTACTGATGCCATAAACAAGAGTGTCAATTTGTTCAGTCAACAACAGGAGTCACTGTGCACTTACTCCTCATGTAGGATCTAATGGCCTTAGTGTGCTGTACATTGAGATTTAATGCTATAACTAGTACTCA